ATAATTAGTTTGGGAGCTTATCAGTAATTCTTGAAAAGTAATTACTCAGCCGGGGACGCTTAAAGTAGTTTAAAGATGAATAGTTGATCTTTTCCCATATCATTGGTACCCATAACGGGATTCGATGCCAGGTCTTGAGTGGCATGGCGATGCCATGGGTCATAGGGCAAAGGTCTGACTCACGTTAAGTCAGACTTCACCAAAAACACATTTATACAGTGATTATCGTTTAACAAGCATATTTATCATTGCATTCGATGACGTTACTTATTTTCTGTATAAGTAGTTTTCGAGACTGTAATTAATTCTTGATTAAGAACAAATGAATTTTTCCTTTGCATCTCATATATTGGTTGTAGCCTTCGTGATAAGCCCGTCGGTTAACGGAGTTTTGGACTGAATTTCTCCAGTCAGCGTAGAAACATGATTTGAACACTCGTCTGTGAGGCTTAAATTCTGTACATTTCCTTCAAAAATCATTGAAATTTTAGAACTGTTCGTGCTTCCCCATTAAGGCTGCACCAATTCTCACATTTTCACAGCTACCTTTCATTCCGGAGCTAGTGGCCCATCTTGTTATTGCGTTTTCTCCGTCTACGCTGCTGTCATTTCAAACCCATGTACAAACACAATAAACACATGCAACTCATGTATACTATTCCACCTTCTCCGTTCCACTTACAGTGGCCCTCATACAGTTCCTTGACCTTTCTCTTGTGAACCACCAGAGCTCAACACCTCTACACTCAACAGGGCCTGCAATGACTCCTGGAGGGGAGAAAGAAAGACACTGGCCAAGCGTAGGCGAAATGTCCAATCCAATGTACTCACCAGCTGTCCGGGCCATTGTTAAGTTGGCTTTGTCATTTGGGTTTTTACCGGGAAAAGTGAGAAAGAAATGTCGCATCGCGCCTTTCTGTTGAAAGGTTGTCTGGTCAAGGGTGCTGCATGAACAGTCGTTGGGACATGCTGACACTCTTCGTCAAAACGCTTCAAACCAACGTGTGAGGGGAAGATGAATTAGAGAAATACCAGTTCGTCAGAGGCTTAGAACTTTGATCTGACAGGTTGGCACATGTCATAAAAGGTGACAAGGCTGCCTGACAAGTTAGTTTTTGTATTATCCAATACAATGCAAAGTTGGTTCCAGTCTCCGTTTCCGAGTATGCATTATTTTATCAGGTTACTGCTAGCTACAATTACTTTCCAATTAAATCACAAAATTCGAGCCCCATAACTATGAGAATTATAGTATGCCAATTCTGATATCATTTGACTCATCATTCTCGGCATTCAAGTAGAATTTCTGTACAATTTTGTTTGATAATTGATTTAGTAGGACCTGGTTTTAGATACATGGTGGGGCTGACAGGGAGAACTTGCGGAAAATATCCAATCCGGCGTCATCTGAAGTAACGGTCGTGGTAATTTTCATACTAAGATCGTTGACGATGTAATTTAGTTGGTAGATTTTATTATCATTTTCTCAGTAAGATTTAGGCAACCTTTTATTTAGGTTGACACCAAGTCACCTGGTTGTAAAGAGTCACTAGTGAGGACATCATTGTCGTTATCCCAATCATCATCTCCCCATCTTCATCTGAGATGACGAATTGACAACCGTGAGTAGGTACAGACAGTCTTTATTTTCGGTTTAGTTATTTTTGCGCGTCGTAACTCCGTTCAAATTGGTACAATCCGACTAACATTGATTCGCACCATTTTCTGGTTCAACCAGTTCCCGACTCGTTCGGCTAAGATGAGAAGAAAACCCAATTCCAGAAGATCGTCGATCAGAAGCCAGTGCTTGCCGGCAAAGCGAAGTGCGAAAAAGCAATTATGACACATTCTCCCTGTATTGACTTCTGTACTGTCTTCGAGTAGATGGTGGCGCAGCATGTCCACATGGTTTGTTCTGCAATAGATAATGAACGAGGCGGACGTTTCGCTTGGATATACAAAAGCTAAAATGACATAACTCATTTGGTTCCCATGACAACATGGATTGTATTCCTTCGGCTTCGACTGAGCCTTTACCCCCTCCTAACTCATTAGAAGCCTACTTTTTTTATAATAAGTGTAAATGGATAACAATAGACTATTGTAGTTGCTTACATTCCGTTAGTAAATGGCGGAGGATGAACTTCGTAGGTCGATACCACCAGAAGATGAAGGCTGCTTCTGCTGATCTACAGTCATTAGGGTCTACAAAAATTTTATTTTGCTGCTTGATTCGGGCGAAAACAAGCTAAGATTCGTGCTTTCTTTGAGTTATCATAACTTGTTGACCCTGAACTGGTGTCAGGCCTTGCTGTAATTACTCAACATTACCACTTGAACACGTACAGGTCTAGCCAAGCACATACATGCATATGCTCAAATATAAAAGTACATCTATTAACAATTTAGTCAATTCATAGTGTATCTAGCTATACACATTATAAATATAACTTGTTATTAGTGGATATATATTAATATAATTTTCAAATGCTATTTCACTTGTGACTATGTATAATGCAGATTTATATTGGATTTAACTCAGATTATATACTTGGGCTTAGTCTTTTCCATTCGAATGGAGGAAGGATGCTTTGATGATTGCGTCGAAGTAAACGTTATTGCCTAAATTCGCAAATTTCCGAGCAACGATAATCGTTCATTGTAGTCGAGACCCTCTTCACCAGACATTTTCATACAAAATGAGAGTCATCACACCAATCTCATATTTCAGATATTTACATTGTCCATTCTACTAGCAACATTGGCAAATCTGACCATATCTCAAACATATCGGTTGCTAAATCAATAGGCCAATATGGGCACAAACGAAATCTCGTTCCATTTGTTTCATTTTCAGCCATTCATTCGCCTGTTTTTCTTTTATACCAAAATTTTTCAACTGGTATAAACTTTTTTCGAAATTGCAGGTCCCCTTTCTGTTCTAGTTTTATGCCCACAAGTTCATTCTTCAGTTCTTCTGCTGTTTCTAGCAGTCGCAAATTTGTGAAAATCTGCTTCCCTTATCTGGTCTCTCCACATGCTTTGAAGTATGATTCCTCCATCCACTCATACAGACTCACATGAGGGGAATTTCGGTCAACATGAGCTACTATGTTATTGCGCAACGGTCGTAATGACCAGCTCGCCTGTGCCAACTGTAGATGTACCGGGCACCGACAGACCTTATAAGACCTGAGTCGTGTTGGGTTCGTTTTGACGTCAAAGATCTGTCTTCAAGCGATGGTTCGGCCACTCTGCTCAGAGGTTTGCTAAGCTTAATGTGTCCCAGTTCATCCGATTTCACTCTGCCCACCGTACACAAGAGAATAACATAATAGTTGATATGACACACCTCTCCACCTTCATCCAGTCTCGATAACACTCTTGCCTATTGGCATGTTTATTGCCGCGGCAACCCGCAGGTATCCTACCCCGTTTGGACGGCAGTTCCGCTATTGCTGGTGTCGCCGCTCTTAATAGGTTGGAGATGATGAAAACAGTGGAATACACGGCTTCGCCTGCCGGTGACAATAGTGTCCAGGGCAAATGGGTGAGTCTTCTCCTCTCTTGCTGGCGCGTCCAAACTAGTCAATTTGCTCATCCTCCTCTTTGACTGGTCTCGTCTAGTCAGCGCCGCTTGGCCAGCCAACAATCGATAGTCCTGTCCCAACTGGCAGAGACGTCTAATCTCTTTGTTTCCTCCTTTCATTGCCGTTACTCGCCTGACCTTATGACACCCCGGCGTCTTTAGAACCATCTACACAGTCTAAAATGTGCACAAGAACCCAAACTCATGCTTGTATGGATGTCCGTCTCCATAATCATGTGTTGGTCGTGTCTGTCTGTGCTTTTGTTCGTGTGAATGTCTATTTTTT